GGATCACTCAGAGCCCCGGGAAGGGCTGGACAAAGCTCCTGGGAATTCTGTGCCATTCCCAAAGGGGCTGTGTTTTGCTGGAGCATTCCCAAAGCTCCAGGTTCTGCTGGACCAAAAGCCAAACTGGAGCTCAGGGGCTCCTGGGGGGTGGCAGCAGCCGGAGTTTGGGGGCACAGCTGGGACCTTGGCACAGCATCCGCATTTTGGCAGCTCCAGGTGAGGACCTGGAGACTCTGAGCTGGCCCAGAGCACCTTGGCTCGGGAATGGGATGGGATTTGAGGTCTCTTCCCACCCAAAACATTCCCTGACTCCACCTCTGTGGGACACCGGGAATGCTCCCAGAACTTCCTCGGGTTTCTCCACATCCCCAGAGTCCCAGGGCAGGAGCAGTGCCCAGCTGGAGAGCACGGAGAGATCAAACCCCTCCACGTTACCAAAAACACCCATGGAATTTTAAAGAGGAGGAATCTGGGAAAACCCAGTCTGGTTAAAAGCTTTACGAGCAGCCACATCACGACGAGCTGCGGAATTTATCACCCTGGGCAGCAGCATCCCGATGGGAGCAATTCCCAAAGATTTTAGAGGCGATTCCATCAAAACTCAAAAAATTGAGTTTATTGTGGGGTCAGTCTGAGCTGCCTCAGCCCCAGAGCCACGGGATCCTGGTGCCCCTGGGAGCAAATTCCCAGCCCTGGAATGAGAACCAGGAAAAATCACGGTGCCCAACCCAAAAATGCCAGTCCAGGCTCCTCTTTCCCAGCTAAAATCCCACAAACACAACGGCAATTCCTGACGGCTCAAAGGAAGGAGCAAGGAGCGCTCCTGCCTCAACTTGGCGCCTTCCCTTTGCCTAATTATTAATTATTAATTATTCATTATTAATTATTAATTATTAATTAATAATGTGAATAATTATTAATTAATAATGTAATTATTAACTAATAATTATATCACAGGGGTTGGAAGTCGTCCAAGGCCAGGCTGGATTTGCTTTGGAGCACCCTGGGATGTGGAAGCTGTCCCTGCTCACAGCAGGAGGCTGGAATTGGATGATCTTTAAGACCTCTCCCAGCCCATTCCATGATTGGAAGACGAAGGATTTATCTCCAACATCCCTGGGATTGAACACTTTTAAAAGGTCTGGAGCACACAAAAAAGAGCTGGGCTGGCACGTGGCTGCCCTGCAGCTGAATTTGGGATGGCCAGGGAAGGTGGATCCACGGCTGGGACCCCCCAGGCCCCGCGGCCGCTCCTCGCCTGATGAATAAAATAAAATAAAATAAAATAAAATAAAATAAAATAAAATAAAATAAAATAAAAAACATTTCATGATGCTGAAATAAAAAAGGCCCTGATTGAGCAGTTTCATTCCTGAGGTCATCAAAGGGATGCCCATTAATTAATGAACTTCCTATGGAGCATGAATTCTCGACGCGGACTCAAAGGCACAGAATTCCCGTTAAATAAACGGCGGGACCTTCCCAGAACGCCAGGAAACGGGGAATAAAAAGCCCTTTTATGACAATAAGCACATTTGCGCTGCAGTTCTGTGATGTGGGAGGGAGCAGAGCGAAAGCACGAGGAAGGGCAGGGGAGCAGAACCTGCTGAGATCTGCACAAAGCCCTCAGCACCTCCCCAGATGTGTCCAGGACTTCCAGACGCTCCCGGTGGCTCCGGCTGCTTTTCCCACCCATCCCGGCCCCGCGCGGCTCCCGCGGCGCCGAGGGACCGCGTTTAACCTCAAGCTCCTGGCCTGACACTTCACTCCAGGAGCCACTTCAAAAACCCTTCCCAGCTCTCGGATCATTCCCATCTCCTCCCACTCCTTTTTCCCGTCGTTCCCCTCCCGTCCCATCCCTGGCACCGCTCGAGGTGCGAGCAGGGGGTGGCAGAAGGTGACAGACCCCACAAAACGCCACCTCCCTCCCCTGGGCTTTCTCACACCTCATCTCCAGGGGAGAAAACCCAGAGGTCCCAAACTTCAAAGGTTGGGCTTGATGATCTTGGAGGCCTTTCCGGGCCCGGATGGATCCGGGCCGGGGGGACGGGAGCAGAGGCTCGGGGCAGACGCTCGGGGAGGTTTTGTCTCAAAAAGCTTCCAGAGCAAACAGCAGCGGCAAGCGATGGAGCCCCTGCCCGGAGAGGGCTGCTCAGAGCTCTTAAAATAACACATTTCGGGGCCAAAGCTCCATGAAAAAATAGCGGGGCCTTCCAGAGCCGGCTGAGGCTTTCATCCGGCGCAAAACACAGAATCCCCTCCCCGTTTTCCTCGAGGAGCTTCTCCAAGAGGTTTAAGTGAGGATGCTGAGGGCAGAGCCCGGCAGAATTCCCGCTGCTCATCCGGCTCCTCCTTGCCAGCAGGAAGGGGATGGCTGCGAACAGAAATTCTGGGAGTCTGGAAACCAGGGCACCTCTCCCATCCATCCCTCCTCCCGTGGGACGCAGCACCTCGTGGCTTGTGGGAGCCTCTTCCCAAAATCCTGCAAGCCCAAGTCCCTTCCCACCTCTGCAGCCCCAAGGATGCATTTCCTCCCCTAAGACTTTAATATCCCAGGCAGACGAGCAGCAGGAGCAAAGATTAAGAAGGTCTCGTTCCTAAATTCGGCTGGAAAATCAAATTCCTGCTTCCCAAACCTGCCCAGGAGCAGAAACCCCCATCCCATTATCCCCACCCCGCCGTGGAAATCCTCCCAGCCACCGCAGCGACCTTTCCAGAGGCTCTCCTGCTGCATCCAAGCCTGGAAAACTCCCATTTTTTAATAACCGGCCTTATTTTGACTTGTTAAGGCAAACCCCCGGAACGGGAGCTGGAAGCAGCGGGAAGTCCAGCTCCGAGGGCGCCTCTGGAAGTCCTGGGGCAGGATAAATCCCGGCCCCCGCCGAGCAGGAGCTTCCAGAGGCTCCCAGCCTTGGCACGGGCACAGCCAGCCCACGTGGCAGGGGACAAATCCCAGCCAGGGCTCCGTGACCTCTGGAAAAGGCGGAATGCTGCCGGAGCGGGGACGGCACCGGGACATTCCCTGCCCGGGAGAGGCACCGGGATCCAGCTGAGCCCAAACCATGCCCACGGAGCAGAAGGGTTCCAGCATCCCCCAGAGCCCACAGAAGTCAGGGATGAGGAGGATAATTGGGAAGGTGACCCAGAGCGCGCCTTTGGAGACATCCACCCCTGTGTTTGGGCAGGAGCAGCCAATCCCCACCACCCCAGAGCCTGCCTGGGTTCTCCAGCTGGGAATACCGGGAGGAGGAGGAGGAGGAGGAGGAAGGGCTGGAATTGGTGAGGAAACCCCAGGAGAAGCCACGGGATTCCCTGGGAGCCAGAGGTGGAGGAGGAACGGAGCCCCAGGAGCAGGAGGGACGGGAAGGACGGGAAGAGAAGCGCTGTGGGTTGGGAAGGGATGGAAACAAAGGTACAGAAGCTTCTCCAACCAGAAGAGCAAAAAAGGTGCTGAAACAAAGGGAATTTCTCCAAATTTTTCACCTAAAACCCACAGACGTGGCTGGATGCCCACATCCCTCTCATCCATCAGCACAGAGCCAGCAGATTGGAATCCTCTCCCGGAATCCTGAACATGGAACTGGAAACCACCTCACACCTCCAGCCTGCGACGGAGGATTTACCCCTCAAATGGATAAAAATCCTTCAGGGGATAAAAAAAGAGCAAATAATTCCAGAAACTGTTCCCTGCATTAAAGACACCACCAGGAAATGGAATTCCTGCTCCTCCCCAGCCACAGGGACAGAGGAAGGACCTTCCCGAAGCTCTGACTCCACAAGGAGCTGAAGGAGAATTCCTGTAGGGAATTCTGCTGTAGGAGTCGCTGCCTCAGGTAAATCCAGCACCTGGAGCCCTCCCCGGCACATTTGGATGCACATCTGGACCAGGAGGGGTTTCTGCACCTTCAGGAAGTTTAATGTGAATAAAAAGCGTCCTGATCTCTCAGGTGCCCCTCCCCACAGCTCCAATCCACGAGGGAAGGCTGGGTTTGCTTTCCCAGGAAACCAGGAAGGAGCTGGGAAAGGTAAAAAGGCACAGAACTCCAGGAAATTAAATTAATTCACAAACTCCTCAAGTTGGGCTGTTTCAGAGGAAGGCTGGGGTTTGTAAGACACAAAGCTGAATTTGAAATTGAATTCAAAGACACAAAACTGAATTTGAAAGACAAAAACTGAATTTGGCTCTGCCCATAAACCCAACAGCAGAATCCCACCAGCTCCTGGAGAATTCCAGCATTCCCAGGATCCATCTCCAGAGGAGAAGGATCTCAGTGCCATGGCAGGAACACCTCACTGGAACAAACCCTCCTGGAGAGCAGCTCCAGAGCCCCTCCAAGCTCTGAAATCCCAATATTCAGTGGGAGTGGGAAAGGCAATTCCCGATTTAAGGTGCATCCAGGGATGTTCAGTTCATCAGCTCATCCCTCTCAGACACATCCACCGGGAAAGGGAAAGGCAAGGGAGGCACAAGGCAGGTTTGGGTGGGATTTAAAATCAGTTTAGGAGGTGAAATTAATGAAATTTATTTATTAAAATTAATTAATAAATAATTAAATTTTTTTAAAATGAAAATTAATGGAATTACAGTGCTCAAACTCTAACTCCGTTATCCCAAAACCAGGGAAAAAAGCCAGTGTCTCTGGGTGTCCCAGCAGCACCAACTCCCTGTGCAGGGAAATGGAAAATACGAGTGGAAAACGGGAATTTTGGGGAGTTCCACCCCCACCTGCGCCTCCCAGACTGCCAAGAAACCAAGGAAAACTCCAGCTTGGAGAACCCAACCACACGTGGGATCCTCACTTCCCAACGGCCTAAAATCCAGGATAAAACTCGGGGAGCAACCAGGGAAGGAACAACCATTCCTCACCCACTAACAGAATTCCAAACTCAACCCCCTGCCTCGGCTTGGAAAAGCAGAACTTCCAGGGAAAGGAGTGAACCTCTTCCCAAAAAACGGGCGATTCCCATCGAATTCCCGCCGAATTCCCACCGATTCCCACCTGTTTCATGGCGGTCTCTCCGATCTTGTCCGAGTGCTTGCGGATGCTCTCCAGGAAGTCCTTGAGGTCGGACATGGAGAGCTCCTTGATCTCCTGGCGCAGGCGGGGGATGTTGTCCAGCATCACCTTGCAGAAGCGGTAGTGGCTCACCTGGGGCAGGAAGGTGTGCTCCAGGTGCTCCAGGGTTTTCAGGGCCGGGTAGTGCCTGCGGGATAGGAAAAGATTCTAAAATCTAAAATCTTAGAAAATTCAGAGATTTAGAAAGGAAGTTAGGTTTGGAAAGCCTTGGGGAAAAGCAGGTCCTGAGAAATGTTAGAAATCTTGCTAAAGATCAGGTGAAACTGTACCTGTGTAATCAATATATGATAAATGATAGAATTGTTAGATGTGATTAGATATAATTAATATAATTAGATATAATTAGTAATTATAACATGAGGAACAATGTTAGGGGGCTGGGGGGGATCAGGAGAAATCCATGCTTGGGTAAACACAATGCTTACAATAGAACAGTGCAAGTTTAATAATTAATATGTAAGTTGTATAATTATAGAGTATAAAATATGTTCAACTCAAAACCAAATGGGGTCAGATTTGGGTCTGTGTACCCCTGACACCCAGAGCTCTTCAATAAAGCACCTGCATATCATCATTCTGTGATTGTGGAGCTCAGCGGCGTTCCCGGGACGCGGATCGGCCGGGAACGCCGAGCCGGCGCCTCCCAGCCCGTCCCATCAAATCTCATCCAGTGAAAACCCCTGAGGAAATCCCGGAGCTGGGAATGTCCCGTGAATCCCACAGAGTGATGAGCAGTGCCTGAGTCGTTAGTTAATTAATTAATTAACAGCCACAGAGCCTGCAAAGGCCCTGGAGGAGCAAGCTCAGCTCCCTTTCCCTGTGGATTCCAGGATCCGATCCCATTTTCCCCCTCCCAAACCCCACCACAAGCAATTCCCACCCATTTAAAAACTGGATCCAAATCCCAGCAGATCCATTTCATTCCAAGCTCCTCCATGTCGGAACAACTCCCTTTCCCCATCCTAAAATCAATATTTTTTACATTTTGTACATTTAAGAATGCATGGATAAAAAAATCCCTGTCCATCTTCGGCCGTTCCCGATCCAATCTCATCCTCCTTTCCTGCATAAAAGCAAATTTCGGATGCCAAATGGGAAATGGAGCTTGGAATTTTGTTTCTCCCAAATGCCCCCCCACCTTTTCCCTGTGGGAAGTGGGGATCCATAGGATTTGCTGGAATATGGAACCACCTAAAATTCAAGCACAGCTCTGGTCAAGAGGCAAAAATAATTAAAAATGAACCACCCAGGAAGCATTAAGAGGGTTTAATAACATAATAAAAATATATATAATAAATAGGGTATTACTATTATTTATATTATATTATATTATATTATATTATATTATATTATATTATATTATATTATATTATATTATATTACATTATATTATATTATATTATATTATATTATATTATATTATATTATATTATATTATTTTTGCTGTTGTTACTATTATTACTATTATTATTATTTCTATTATATATTATTAATATTAATACTTCTATTATTATTTCTATAATTTCTACCTATTGTAGATTTATGTATTATTGTTAGTATTATTATTTCTATTATTATATCTATTGTAGATTTATATATTATTATAATGATATATTATATTTTATACTTTATATATATTACATATTATTTATTTATTAACTTAATATAGTTTTAGAAATATATATCTTATACAAATATATATAATTTATATATAAAGTATATATAATAAATAAAAATATAATTTATAAATATAAAATTAAATTATAATTAAATTATACAAAATTAATTATTATATTATAAATTTTATTAATTAATTATATTAATTATATACTTTTATAAAATAAATTTTATTAATTAATTAATTATATTAATTATATAATTTTATAAAATATTTATATTTGTATATAAGTATACATTATTATGTATTTAAAATACAATAATTATGTCTTTATATTCTAATAATTATTACAATTAATGTATTAATGTATTATGTATTTGATAATAAAATAAACAGATTTATGATCAATAAATCTCATGTCAGTCACTCTGAGGGGGACTTCGGGGAATTTTAGCTGACACATCCATGGATAAATCCTGGGCACTTCCAGCTGGAATTCCAGAGGAGAAACAATCTTTGGCCACAAGGAACAAACGAAGGCCACTGGAAAAGGCTGACATTTGTATTCCCATTTGGAATAATTCCTGCCTCAACTCCTGGGAATTCTTTCCCAACAACGATGGGAACCATTTGTGCCGAAATCCAACCCTCTGGAGAGAAGCTGGGAATGCTCAGGGATGGATCCAGGGGGAGCAGCTCCCGTTCCTGCCACAAAGCCCTGGAGCAGCTCCCAGAGGGGAGCTCAGCTCTGTCCCAGCTCCACATCCCCGGGAAAAGCAGGATTTGGATCAAAACCTTTTTTGGGTGATTTTCCAGATCCTGCTGGGGATTCCTCAGCCCGAGCAGGATCAACATTCCCAGTGAACTCATTTCTCATGGAGCATCCAGGAGAGCTGGAGAGGGATTGGGGCCAGGGAATGGCTTCCACTGGGAAAGGGGAGATTGGGCTGGGATCTTGGCAAGGAATTCCTGCCTGGGCTGCAATTCCCAGATTTCCCATGGCTGCCCCTGGATCCCTGGGAATGCCCAAGGCCAGGTTGGACACTGGGATTGGAGCCACCTGGGATCCTGGGAGCTGTCCCTGCCCATGGATGGGATGGGAATGGGAAGAGATTGAAGGTCAATTCCCACTCAAAGCATTCCAGGATTCTGGAGCCCCTCTGCTCTGGAGCCAGGCTGGGAGAGCTGGGAATGTTCCCCTGGAGAAGGGCAAAATGCAGGGAATGCTGAGAGTCCCTGCAGGGGCTCCAGGAGAGCTGGAGAGGGACTGGGGCCAAGGGCTGCAGGGCCAGGAGCCAGGGAATGGCTTCCAGTGGGAAAGGGGAGATTGGGCTGGGATCTTGGCAAGGAATTCCTGCCTGGGCTGCAATTCCCAGATTTCCTCTGGCTGCCCCTGGATCCCTGGGAATCCAGGTTGGATCCACC